TTTTTTTTTTTTTTAAAGATTTTATTTATTTGACAGAGAGAGACACAGCGAGAGAGGGAACACAAGCAGGGGGAATGGGAGAGGGAGAAGCAGGCTCTCCGCAGAGCAGGGAGCCCGATGCAGGGCTCGATCCCAGGACCCTGGGATCATGACCTGAGCCGAAGGCAGACGCTTAACGACTGAGCCACCCAGGCGCCCCTCAATAAAATCTTTAAAAAAAATCTTTGTCAAGTAAGTCCATCTGGGCTTCCTCACAGACATTTTTTATTGTTATGTTAATCCCCATACATTACATCATTAGTTTTAGATGTAGTGTTCCATGATTCATTGTTTGTGCATAACACCCAGTACTCCATGCAGAACGTGCCCTCCTCAATACCCAGCACCAGGCTAACCCATCCTCCCACCCCCCTCCCCTCTGGAACCCTCAGTTTGTTTTTCAGAGTCCATCGTCTCTCATGGTTCATCTACCCCTCCGATTTCCCCCCCTTCACAGACGGTTTTTATTGACTGCTTTTTTTTTCCTTTTTCATTGCCATACTTTCTTATATCTTTATGTGTCTCACAATTTTTTGTTAAACACTGGGCATTTAAAAGAATCTAATGTGGCTACTCTGGAAATTAGATATCCATCCTCCTTTCCAGGATTTGTTGTTGCTGTTTGTTATTATTGTTGCTCTTTGTTTGCTTAGGGGTTTTCCTGGACTAATTCTCCAAAGTGTGTACTCTTTGTCATGTGCAGCTTCTGAATTCTCTCTTGGTTAGCTTAATGGTCAGCTGAGACAGAGGTGTCCTTTAATGCCTTGATCCAGTACATCTCCCATTCTGTGCCAAGGGGCTCATTGTGTGTGTTGGAGCACAACTTCAGTGCTCTGCCAGGTTACAATTCTGCCTTTGCCTTCACTTCCTGCTTGAGCAGGGCCTCAAGGTCAGCCAGAAGTGAGAGACTGGGGCTCTCTCAGGTCTTTTGTGGACATGTACACAGTCTTGCACATGCATGTGCCTTCTGGATTCCCAGCAATATGCTGGAGCATTTCAAAGCCCCTCTGGGTGGCTCATCCCCTAGATTTTCATTTAAGTGTTTGTGTCAGCTTCTTCCTGTTCCAACTGGTGTTGCTACCTTAGACAGCTGTGACGTTAAACAATTGCTGCTGAGTGTTTTTAGCAAGCACTCCAGGATAGAGCTTTTCCCAGTGAGTGAGCTCTGCATCAGGTCAAATAGAGACAAGTCCTATATATGGGCTTTTCCTGGAAGCTGATAGATAATGACAATTCTCTGGGAATGAGCAGTTAGGGACCTTCAAATTGTTTTGCTTCCTTCAGTGGCTGCTACTTTTCACAGGTACTGTGATTGTGAGATTGATGGTTTTTAAGGCTACCATGGCGCTGGGAAATGGGCAAGTTAAAATGCTACAAACTTCACTGTTCTTAGCAAGATATTTGTCTTGAATAAACATTTCTTGGGTTGTTACCAGACATTAATTTCCAGAGTTCTGAAAAGGCCTATTTTTTCCTCTAGTGTTCTTGCTGTTTTTTATGGAGAAGCAGATTTTCAGAGGTCGTTACTCTACTATTCCAGAAGTGCTTCTTCCATTGGATTTTTAGAAAGGGTTTCTTGGGGTCAGGGTAGATTAAAAACCCTAGCACTGACATGGCAAGACAGACCTGCATGATTGTAGTAGAACCGATATGTAGCTATCCTTTCAAGTCCTAGTTCTTAAATCCCAGAAACTTCTAGAACTCTGAGACCTAAGAACCAACCCCTTCCCACCCCCCCAGGGTCCAGGGAAGGAAGGGAATGGCAATATCATGGTCTCTGTGGACCACTGAACAAAGGAAGAGAACACTGTTGTATGAATCAGAACACAAAATATCAACAATTATCTTCTTACGGTCATTTGCCAACTATATGGCTCCTGTTCTAGAATTTTTCAGTGGGACTCACAGAACTCTTTCCTACCCTAAGAGCCCTAGACTCCTGGGGAACTCATGTATAAAATGCATAATTAAGGGTCCTCAAATCCAAATGCAAAGGAAGCATCGTTAGTAGAATGAATAAATCTCTTCTGCACATAGATCTACTTTCAAATGCATACTGCCACTAATAAATGCACAAATCCATTTAAAGCAAGGACAACAACAATAGAACTCTAGCACCGAGACTGCTGATTGAAGGCTGGCAGCTGCAGAGATGGGGTGAGCACCTCCATTTGCCTCCGCAGGTGTAGCATGGCCACCAGCCAAGCGGCATTCGATTGCTTTGTCCTTGTGTCTCCTAACCCTTTATCCATCATTTACCCACCAGTCCCTCTTTCTCGCTTCCTCCTCCCTTTCCTCCCTCTTTCTTGTCAACAAGCGTTTACTGACTGTCTCCTGAGTGCCTACGGGTCCGGTCCCGGCTTTGAAGAGCCCCTGTCTTGGTGGAGAAGGACAGGTGTGCAGAGCAGACCCCCCGCAACCAGATGCAGAAATGCTGGGACAGAGGGAGGTATCTGGGGAAGGGGGAGCTGGGCAGTGGAGGCTCTTGGGGAAAGGCGGGTCTAGATGGAAAAAGGATCCTGCCCAAGGTCCCTAGAAAGAGGACCCCAGAGTGCAAGAGCAGTGTTGGGCTTCTTGGGCTGAGAAATGGGGGAGATGAGAAATCCATTCCATTACGATGGAGATGCATAAACACTGCAGGGCTCTGGAGGTGTTTTCCAGGCGAAGACTCCCACGGACAGGGCGAGCTCTGTCTGCAGGACTGGGGCGGAGGCGGCAGCAGCAGGAAGGCATCTCGGCCAGATACTGTCCACAAGACAAAAAGAGCCTTTCTCCCTGGGATGCAGGAAAACGCCTGGTTTGTGCAAGGGAAGGCGCCAAAGCCAGGATGTGCATGTATGTGAAACTATCTGGAAATAAACAGGGGGCCCCGCCAAAGCTAATCCGAGAGGGACATCTGCTCTGTGCTGCTCACACCACTCCCTGACAGGCAGAGAATCAGGACCCCGCGTGGGAAAGGTCACTGAAGGGAGGAGGAGCTGCTTACCCCTTGCCCAGCAGCTGACCTTACACAAGACACTTAACCCCTTGGAGCCTCAGTTTCCTTATCTGCAAAATGGGAATGATACCATATTTTTATCTTTTGCAGGGCCCTGTGAAGGTCACATTAGATGAAGAACTTGAAAGGACCCAGCCCAGAGTCCAGTAAATCCTTGTCTTTCTTTGACTTTCAGATTGTTTTAAAGTGGAGGCCGAATTCTAAATGGATTTTTGAGGAAGCTGAGTCATATTATACTTTATCCTAAAAAAAAGTCCCTAATTTCCTCATTTCCTTACAAAGAGGACATCAGAAGCTTACAATAAAATGCAGAGAAAGGAGAACTGAATGATGCAGTGTGTTTTTGGAGAGCTGGTAGCGTGTGTGTGGGGATGGGGAGTGGGTTGTGGGTGATTACACACAAAACCCAGAGTAAAGAAAAGCCCTAGCAATCAAACACAAAAGAGCCTTCAGCTCTGGAAGTCAAAGCGAGCAGAGATCCATGAAGGGCATTTCCCAGCAGTGAACTCTAGGGAGCTTATCTGCAAGTCCTCTGTATAAGGAATGAGATAAGGCAAGCATGCAGTGGTACAGGGGGCAGGAAGCCCATGCCCAGTGCCCAGGAGAAGACTCTGATGCACAGAGAGAACCTGCCCCATTTCCCCCTGGGGTGCAATCTGCCTAGGGTCCTGGTGAAGCTGCTTAGGGGCTGAGCATGGGTGCGTTCATTCCTTCCCTGTTCTGTGCACCTGCCTTCCCTGAGCCTACTGTGTGCCGGGCTCTGAAGACTCGGAGTGAGAGCCCCAGCCAGCCGGGTTCGAGAGGCTTTCTCTAGATGTAAGGACAAAAGGGTAGTGAACTTGGGCCGAGAGTCCAGGGAGAGGATGAGACACCCTGGGCAGGCTCAGAGTGGGAGGCTTTGACCCCCTGGGTGAAGCAGGAGGTGGGGGACATGGTGGGAGGAGAGGGGAGAGCCCTGAGAGGCGGTGGTGGCATGGACAGAAGGGGGCACGGGTCCAAGGTGTACGGAAGAGGAAACTGACCAGGACTCGGCATGGGAATGGGGACCGGAGGCGTTGAGGATGCTGCCCTGGGGTCTGCACAGGGAAGCAGTGGCCGGAGGTCTCCCTGGGATGACAGGGAGCCACAGGACAGCAGATGTGGGGGGGTGCTGGTTTGGGGGGGCACCTCCAACCTCAGGGCCCAGAGATGACTGGGGTGGAGGCGTCGTCAGCATCATAGGGGAGCCGGAGCCCCGGGGGTGGCAGAGAGGACAGAAGAGGGCCACAGGCAGGCTGGTTTGAGAGGCAAGTGGGGTCCAAGGGAACAGGTGCAGAGGGAGGGGTGGGAGATGCGGGAGGACATGCAGGCTGGCGCTGAGCCGGGGACACTGTGGCCAAGCTGACGTCACCGGCAAGGCCGTGAACAGACCAGAAGCCTGGGATGATGGAAGGCGAGGTGGGGAGTGGGCGTGGGGGTGGGGGGTGGGGTCTGGAAGCTTCACTGTCATGGGGGTTGGGGGTGTGTAGGGTGAGTGCATTTTGGGTGAAATGAAGGTGGCAGGAGGGAGGGGGCGGCGAGTAGAGTTGAGTCTGCGGGTTGTGTGGCAGGGAGGTCGAGGAGTCAGGGGAAGGACAGTCCAGGTCTGGGGAGGGCAGGGGACGCACCCAGGAGGGCCACCAGCAGCCCCTGCAAAGGGAAGACGATGTTTTAGGGGCTGACAGTACCTTCAGGGAGTGGCCAAGGGCACAGAGGGACTGTCCCCGGAACTGCAGGTGCCGAGAAGCTAAGGCAGTACTGGACCAACGACTTGGGGGACAATGGTCAGCTGGAAGGGAGAGGAAGGCCTGGCCCTGGGTCTGAGCATCCCGGGTTACAGGGCAGGGCGAGGACCGGCACCTCCAGCCAGGGCTCAGGTCAGGTCTCAAGGTCAAGGGCAGACTTCCAGGGCTGGGTTTGGAAACCAAGAAAACCGGGGACTCACCGGGGTCGCCTCTTCTTCCAGCCTTGCCGCGCCGTCCGGGAGGGCCTGGGCAGGAGAACAAGGACAGACTGGTTGAGAAGGGAAGCCAGCAGGCTTGCGCGCAGCCCACGAACCCTGCACCGGTGCCCACCGCCCACTGCCCACCGCCCTGCTGGCTGCATCCTTCCCCTTCCTCTCCATCCGGTCACCAGTCTTTCACGAGTCATTCCCCACTCCCAGAGACTGACTCCCTGGAACTCTACAGGCAGAAGAGTCTGCCACTGAGAAACTGGATCTGGGAGAAGAATAGAGCCGAGTGAGGTTGGGAGTCCTTTTACGAAAGCCCCGACGAACGCTTTTTCATATCCCCTAAGGTAAAATGTTAGAGACGACACACCACATAGAGACACTACCATGGCCTTCCAAATGCCTGAACTCGGGAACAGCAGGTGCTGTTCTGTCCACCGCCTATCCCTCCTCTGCCCTCCAGAACCTTCCGCACCCCTCCCCCACAACTCCGGGGGAGCGGCTCATGAATTTCTCATGATTGATTGCACTTAAGGTCCACCCCAACGTGCAGCAACCTCCATCCACAGGTTGTGAAGTCTTTCTGAATTTGTGACGCGGATCACCCTGCCTCCACCTTCTCCCCGCTCTGCCCACGTCGGTCCCCAGACCCAGCGACCACAACGCTACAGGAGAATGCCGACCAGCCCCCGGCCCGAGTCAGGGGTCGTTTTCTCAGGTGCTGGGGGAAAAGGTGTGCAGAAATGAAGGTGTACGTACTAGATTGCCGTTTGAGATGCATGTGACACCTCTCCGCCCATGGTGCCCACCGGCTGCACGCTGGCCTGGTGGGGCCCGGGGGCGGTAGATCTACAGGCTCGGACGGTATTGCAAGGAACTGCACTTTCCTATCAAAGTCAACCTTAACCTCCCTCCCAAATCCCCGGAACAACCACAGGGAAGAAGCAGAGGCTGTCCAGGAATCAGGTCCGAGGCAGGATGGTTAACTAAAATATTCATGTGGGGCACCTGGGTGGCTCAGTCGGTTGAGCGTCTGCCTTCAGCTCAGGCCATGATCTCGGGGTCCTGGGATCCAGTCCCACATCAGGCTCCCTGCTCATTGGAGAACCTGCTTCTCCCTCTCACTCTCCCTCTGTGCTCTCCCTCTCTCAAACAAATACATTAAATCTTTAAAAAAATAAAAAAAAAATTCATGTGTATGAATTTTCCTTCCTTCCTCCTGGTTTCAAGTGGGCAGTCACTGTGCACCCCAGACCAGGGATTGGGATGGGTGGAAAAGCAGAAGAAGCCCAGGGTCAATGGCACTTCTAGACTTTTGTTCAGGAGAGTCCAGAATGATGAGGAGGGAGGGTCTTTAAGGAAAAGAGGGAGAGAGAGAAGAAAGACTCCTCTGGACGTGGAGTGGGGCCCTTTGTGCTATGCTACACCCTAAAACCTTTACAGGTGGCTGGGGGTGATCGTATGTATACACCATGTATTGTTCATCCATTCATCTCATCGGGTGATGGATGCTTGGGTTGTTTCCACCTCTTGACTATTGTGAATAGTGCTGGGATGAACATGGGTATACAACTACTGCCTCAAGATCCTGTTTCCAGTGCTTTTGGATATATACCTACAAGTGGTAGGTATATACTAGGTCATACAGTAATCCCATTTTTAATTTTTGGAGGAATCTCCATATTGTTTTCTATGCTGACAACACCATTTTACGTTCCCACCAATGAAGGCTTCAATTTCCCCATAGCCTTGCTGACACTTGGTTTTTGTTTTATATTTAATTAATTAATTAATTAATTAATTAATTATTTTTTTGGTAGTGGCCGCCCTAAGAGGTAAAATGTGATACTGCATGGTGGTTTTAATTTGCCTTTCCTTAAAATTAGTGTTGTTGAGCATCTCTTCATATGCCTGTTGACCATCTGTATGTGTGTGTCTCCTTTGCAGAAATGTCTAGTCATTGCCCATTTTTTAGTTGGATTTTTGTTGTTGTTGTGTGGCCAGAGTTCCATTTTCTGGATATTAACCCCTTATCAGGCACATGGCTTGCAAATATCGTCTCCCATTCTGTAAGTTGCCTTTGCCCTCTGTTGACGGTTTCTTTTGCTGCATGGAAGTTTTTAAGTTTGATGTAGTCCAATTTGCCTATTTTTGCTTTTGTTGCCTTTTTAACCTTTTGAGGTGTGAGGTAAGGGCTCTGAGTCATTCTTCTACATGTGGATATTCAGTTTCCCCAACACCATTTGTTGAAGAGACTGTCTTTTCCCCCCTGGACAGCCTTGGCCTCTCTGTTGAAGATCATTTGACCATATAAGTGATGCAGCCCTGAGTTCTGAGAGCAGAAATTCCTGCCGGTCATATGGCCCTGGTTTTTCCTCAATACCCGACTCAAACCTTGAATTTTGTGCTGGAATCGTCCACGGGCCATGTTGACTTGGCACGGCTGAGATTCTGGCACTTTCATAACAGACAACAGCTCCTCACCCTGGTGAGGGATTTGCAGCTTATGGAGCACCTCCAGATCTATGACCTCAGTTGAGCCCACGCCGCTCAGTCACCTGCCAACCTAACATCTCTGTGTGGATCTCACCAACATCTCAGGCCCGTTGTGGCCAAACATACATCCTAGTCTCCTTCCCAGCTCCTGTGCACAGCTGGCCTGGTGTTAGGCCCTTTCTCCTCTCTGGGCACATCTGTTTTCAGGGAGAGTGAGGGTGTGGGAATGGGAACCCACACATAGCATCATCCTCCTCTGCTTGTAGGAGGGAAAAGGCCCACTTTCACTCACAAGGCCCAGGGCGCTGGTCACTGGCTTCTGGGCTTTTGCCAGGCCACAGAAGCTCATGCTCGGCTCAGCAAGGCTGCCTGCCTTGGGTCTTAGGCTGCGGTGAGGGACAAGGTAGGAAAGGGGCCCCCAGGTGGGACAGTAAGCCAGGCTCTTCCTGGGTCTGAAAGCTAAAGCACACCATGGTTTCCTGCTGGTCATTACTGGGTACGACTATAAAATTCCCTGTCTGCGTAACTCAAGCCAGATGAAGACATTTGCCTTCACTGAGGCGGCTGAACGAATGGATTGGTCTGGTGGTTCTCCTGGGTGGCATGGTTAGGCAGAGGGCCCAATGAGGAGGGGTGCTCACAGGCAAGCAGCTGCCCAGGCAGGTGCAGTGCCCCGTCTCCTAGAGCCTTTGGGGGAGTTCCCAGCAGGCCTGGAGTGGGGCAGGGCCTGGGTATCCTCAGGCATCCAGGGCCTGTGGAGCTGCAGGCCCAGCAGGCTGGACAGGACTCCCAACTGAAAGGGCCTTGGTAGAGGAAGAGAATGAGCCTGATGCTCTTGAATCCTCTCCCAGACCAGCCCAAACCAGATACTAGAGGCTTCAGCGTGAACAACTCACAACTCGACAACTGGTCAACCTTTGCGCCAATAAGCAAAAGCAGGCCTCTGGCCCAGCGGTTTGCCCCAGAACTTTCTCCTTGCTGTTTTTTCTCTTTCCCTTCCTTTCTCCAGTGGGAAAACCTCTCCCACCGTCGGCACACACTCAGACACTCAGACTGCCCTGGGAGGCATCTGGGAGTAGGTCCTGATTGGCCTGTTATGTACAGATGGGAAAACTGAGGCTTTGAGGGGGAGGACAGGTCTTGCCTAAGGATGCTGTTGGGAAAATGGTTCCAGCTGGAAAATCTGTGCATGATGAAGCCCACATCGTGCTGTTCTCCCCGCCGCTGCGTGGGACCCACACAGTGGTGGGGACGCCACCCACAGGGGTATCCATGAGGTGTGGGCAACAGACACCAGCCAGGCAGGGGCAGTTCAGGACGGGAAAGATATGACTGACATGGAAACTATTTACCTGGGGCAGGTTACTCAGCCTCTCTGGGCCTCAGGTTCCCAACCCACGCGGATGGAATTTTAGGGGTGACAGCTGCCGTGCCGAACTATTAAACAGAAGAGCTGGTGGCATGAGCACCAGCTCGGAGGCACAAAAGGGGTGCCTATTTGGGATCCCAAGAAGTAACTGGCTAGACGGGCCTTTGGGCCTTCAGAACATGGTGCCCTGATGTCAACAGCCTCCTGTGTGTCCCCCAGGGTGGGTAAAGCCTGAGACATGGCAGCTGCAGGTCAGTGACTTTGTGGGCAGGGTCTGAGTCCCGACACAAGGCCAGTCTGGGGGTTTCCCACATCCCTCCTGATGGTCTGTCTGGGGACCTGGGCACCAGGATGCAGGGGTTGCACGGCCTGGGGATGGGGTTTCTCAAAGACATCCTGAGGTTTCGGGCCCAGCCTGGGCTCCAGCTTGCTGTGAAATGATTCTGGATGCCCGTGACGACCATCTGCCCAGTAAGTAACCACGGAGGATGATGGTTTTCTTAAGTGCCGTTTGAAGCCAGACAATATGGAACCATTTCTAACTCATAAAAACCTCATCTCTGGCTGGGCTGCAGAACTCACGCACTGACCAGATCCCATGTGGGGACCGCGCCCAAACGGGCTCTCTTGGAGGTCTGAAGCCTGAGGAGGTGGCTCTCAAGGTGGTGGCCTCCTCGAGCCTCCCTGGCACCAACGCCCCCCAGGCCTCCTCCTCCAGCAACGTCTGCCTTATTACGGCCTGGACATGTGGGGGACAGCCTGCCCAGGCCCCTGTGTTTCCCAGGTCACCCAGTCCTCGGCCCTTCCCATGCTCCTCCTAGGACAGAGGCTTTTGTGCAATTCATCTTATTGAATCTATACACAGTTCTAGAAAGTGTTTTATTTTTTTTTAAGATTTTTAATTAAAAAATTTTTTTTTTAAATTTGACAGAGAGATACACAGTGAGAGAAGGAACACAAGCAGGGGGAGTGGGAGAGGGAGAAGCAGGCTCCCCACTGAGCAGGGAGCCTGATATGGGGCTCGATTCCAGGACCTTGGGATCATGACCTAAGCAGACGCTTAACGACTGAGCCAGCCAGGCGCCCCTAGAAAGTGCTTTAATCTCTTCCCACTCTCTTTTCCCTCACGACTGGGGAAAAGGAGACTCAGAGACGTCAAGAAATGTTGTCAGAG